GCCATGTTCGCGGCGCTGCCGGTGCCGAGCGGGGCCGAGCGGGGCCGGCCCGGCCGAGCCCGGCAGGTGCCCCGGGGATGCTGCGAGCCCTGCCCGGCCCGCGGCCGAGACACCGCACCGAGGGCCGGGGGGCGCGCCCGGAGCGCGGCCGCTCACCCGAAATCCTGGTCCATGGACTTGAAGAAGAACTTGTAGCTGTGCACGGGCCGGTTGCTGAGGACATTTTTGAAATCGGCCAGCGTGACTTTCTCCGGCGGCACGGGCAGCTTCACCAGGTACGGCGTCTCCTCCTCGTCGATGTGGTAGATGATCTTGGTCTCCGCCATGGGCGAGCGGAGCGGGGGCGGCCGGGCCGGGCCTCCTCGGCCGGCGCTCGGCTCCGCTGTCGGCCTTGCCCACAGGAAGGGAGCTGCGGGCTCGGGCTGGCGCTCCCTGCACTGCTCTCTAGCTGCCCGACCCGGGAACGGCAGCGCGCCCGCCCCGCCCGCATCCTCCGGCCGCCCCGCCGGCCTCGCTGCGCCGCCGCCGCTGCGCCATGGGATGGGATGGGATGGGATGGGATGGGATGGGATGGGATGGGATGGGATGGGAAAGGGGATGGGGATGAGGAGAGGATGGGATGGGAAAGGGATGGGGATAGGGAAAGGGGATGGGATGGGGAGAGGATGCGATGGGAAAGGGGATGGGGATAGGGGTAGGGAAAAGGATGGGATGGGAAGGGGGATGGGGACGGGGATGAGGAGAAGATGGGGTGGGAAAGGGGATGGGGATAGGGAAAGGGGATGGGGATGAGGAGAGGATGCGATGGGAAAGGGGATGGGGATGGGGAAAGGGAATGGGAAAGGGGATGGGGATGAGGAGAGGATGGGATGGGAAAGGGGATGGGGACAGGGATAGGGAAAAGGATGGGATGGGAAAATGAAAGGGGATGAGGAGAGGGGAGAGGAATGGCTGGGATGGGAAAGGAAGGGAGATGGGGAAAAGGATGGGATGGGAAAGGGGATGGGAACGAGGAGAGGGAAAATGATGGGATGAGGAAAGGGGATGGGGATGGGGGGAGGATGGGATGGGGAAAGGAAAGGGGATGGGAATAAGAATGGGGATGGGATGGGGATGAGGAGAGGGAAAAGGAGGGGATGGGGAAAGGAAAGGGGATGGGAATAAGAATGGGGATGGGATGGGGATGAGGAGAGGGAAAATGATGGGATGGGGAAAGGAAAGAGGATAGGATGGGAAGGGGAATGGGGATGAGGAAAGGGGAGAGGATGGGATGGGAATGGGGATGGGGATAGGGATAGGGAGGGAAATAATAAGATAAAAGAAAGGTATGAGATTAAGAATGGGGATGAGGAAAGGGAAAAGGATGAGAATAAGAATAGGGATGAGGAGAAGGAAGAGAATGGGATGAGGGAAGCAGAATCAGAAAAAAACTCTTTAGTGCCACACAGGTGATGTATTTGGAAAGAATTCACCTTTATTTCTATAAAATCCCCAAAAACGACAACCGGAAAATGAAGATTTCAGAGCAGCATCCTTAGGTCTCAAAGAATGTTTTGCTTATTTAAAAAAACCCTTTTTTCAGTTAAACCCAAAAAATACGAGTTGAGCTTTCTATCCTAGGAGGCTCTGCAAGCACCCCAGGGTGCTCCTGGCATGGAAAGTGCTCCCTGAATCCATCACAACCACTGTGCAGGAATGGGAAAATTCCCTTTGGTGGGATCACAACTCCGGCATGAGCAATATTGTCTGAGATCCTGAGCTTTATGGAGTTTTTGCAGCATGAAACTCAGGCAAAACATTAACATTTGGTCCCCTCAGTGGGTATTTAATGACCTCCTGGGTTCTCAGGTGCCCACCCAGAGCCTGAACCTGCTGGGAGCTCTGTTCTTGCTCCCTGAGCTTCGCTTTCACTTCTGACAGCTGGAAATAATAATTGTCAGATGATTACCCCCGAGCAGACGTGAGCAGGCTGGCTCTGTGACTCACAAAAAGCTGCCCAGAAAGCACAGAAGAGAGGAGATCACTTTCATGCTGCAGTCAAACCAGCAGCTAATCCAATTAAAGAGGACAGAGGAATGCAGGATGCACCCCTGGCCCATCAGGGCTAATACCTCGAGCCTTGCAGAGCTCAGGCCTTAACACTTCAGCAAAAAAATAAATAGGAGGCACCAAATCTCTTGCTGATAGTGCTGTGCCCTCTGTGATAGAGGGAATAGTCTTGCAGGGCCCTGCAGGGAGCAGAGAATGTCCTGAGGGATAAAAGCTGCTCACCCTTTTCTTCATTTACACAGCAGTTACCACACAGGGAATAAGCAAACCCTCCAAAAAAGCCATTCTTTAAAACCTTTTTGGAATTACAGCAATGCTGTTGCTTGTCTTGGGGAATTCTGAGAGCTCATCACACTCTGGGTGCTCAGGCAGAGCTTCTGACCTAAACCACTGCCCCAAGATGTTTTTGGTTTAGGGATTCTGAATTTTTACTGGAGAATCTCTAAAACAATTCTTGAACCTCAGGTAGAACACATGACCTTAACATTCCCTGGGAAAAGAACTGAACCCCTCTGTTCTTGGGCAAAAAATTTGGCAGTATTTCACAAGATAGATGGGACAAAAGGGAAAACCAAAGCTCTGAGCACCCACCCAGAGGTGTCCTGGGTGGTTTTCATATCAAGGATTTATCTGTAAAAGAACAAAATTTCACCTTGAGGATTGTTGGCAAGATCGGCATTGACACAGAAGGTGAACTAAAGATGGAAATGATTCCAGAGCAGAATGAGGAGCAGAGAGAATTTCAACTTCTGGATCTGGTCTGGAAGATCTGCAAGGTTTTTTTCCCATTTATTCTCCCTCTGTGTGCAGTGGACCTTGGGCAGTCACTGACAAGGAAATGGAGACATTAAACACTAGAGGGAAGCAAAAGACTTTGCAGTAACTCTGCAAAGCTCCCCGGAGGATAAACGTAATAAACATTTATTTGTGTTTTAGGTCCTTTTACATCTAAACCTTTTAGAAAAGATTTAAGTTGAAATATATAAAAAGTTTCAGATATAAAAATAAAAGTAGTTACAGAGGTAAACAAGGAGTTTAGAGTGCAGAACTGGAGGTTTGTGTGTCATAACATGATTAACGAAGAAAGCTTACACTGTAACATGGGTCCATAAGATGAAATATTTAAGGATTGGGTCAAAAACATAAATATCTTTGTTGGCAGTGTTTTATTGGTTAATAAATCTTTAAAAGGACTTGTAACTAAGGGTCTTGTGACCTTCTGAACCCTGCTGTGAAGATGTGAGCTGAACTCACCCTTCCTGCTTATGTAGAAGATAAGAAAAATAAACTCATCATCAAATCCAACTCAGAGATCCTGTCTGTAATTCCTTCCAAAATCCCCCACAAGTGAATTATCGCAGTATCCTGCCTTGATCCTTCAAATCCTTGTCCCTGCAGTGTCCAGGAGCTGTTTCCATCAGCGGCCCTGGGAGAACTCTGCTCTGCCAGCTCAGGGGCTGGGAGGCCTCCAGGAGCAGAATGTGCAGCAGGAACTGTGCAAGGTGTTAGTCCTGCAAGGAAAAGAGGAATTTGGGCTGGCAGGGAGATCTAAATTCCAGCAGGAAATGTTATCTTCCCTTCTGGACCTGCAAAGTGAAATTTAGAAGGGCTGCCAGCCTTCCTCTCTGCTGGATGGTTCGAGCTCCATCTCCAGCTGCAGGTTTGTTCCTTATACAACAATTCTGGAGAGCTGAAATTCCTCTGGGGGCCCCATGACCCTGTCAAGTAATGATGTCCCAGGTGGAAATTTTATTGGAATCACTGGAATAATTTACTGGATTACCCAATCTGCACTTTGTCAGGCACTTGGGGATGCTCTGAGATGAAACACCCCTGCTGTTATTGGGAAGAATTAGCTAATGCTGGCTGAGAAAACACCTCCAAAAGGGCAAGAAATAAAATCAACCTGAGCTGGAAAGTCCATTTTATTCTCCTTTATTTCTTAAATGTTGGGAGAGGATTATCCTGGGCCAGAATCCCATTCCATCCCATCCCATCCCCACCTGGCATCTCTGACCATTACCCAAATCCAGCAGCGGAAGCATGAGGAACTCACAGAGCCCTTCCCACCCTCTGTGGCACAGAATATATTAATTTTTCCCCCCCTTAAGCTATTCTGCAGCCCAGGAGTCAGATAAATACTAAAATGCCTCAGGAGTTTATGAGTAACCCCACTCTGAGCTGTGCTGAGCAATTGGAGCTGGCAAGGAAAAAAATCTCCAACCTTTGACTCACTGACATGAAAGGGAGGAAGAGAAACTTTAATGACAATTCTTTGAGACTGTGCCACCCTGATGGAATAAGCAGCACAGCCTCCTGCACCTGCAGGAATGCAGCCTGCCTTTCAGGGCAGGGTAAAAATCCCTCTCTGCTTCAGGGGAAGGCAAAAAGGGGCTTGGGATCAAGGCCAGAGCTTCCTCTGCACTAATCCTGGGCACTTTTTGGGGTGGATGTTCAGTGAGGATAAAGGGAATTCATTACAAATCACAAAAGGACCTGTGGAGAGCAGTTTCTTTAATTTCTTGGCCCTTCCAATTTCTTAGAAGGGCCAAGAAATTAAAATATGAGGCTCTGCTTAGCTGCAGCTTAGGAAGGCTCACCTGCACCTCTGGTTCTTTTCTATTATTAATGTTTTTACTTGAAGACATTGAAAATAAGGCCCCCCAATACAATTATTCTTTCACACAGCCCCCAGTAACAGACGTATTAACATCTGTAAAAATGTCCATGGTTTATTTGTCACGAAAAGTGCATTGCTGTGACATCTCACCTTGTGAAGGTGTCACAGCCCCTCTGGAGGCCTCACCCACCAGGTTTTGGGCAGAGCTGAGCTCAGTTTTGAGGAGCCACGCCACCCTCTGAGCCCTGTCACAGCCAGCTGAGATCCCTGTGCCCCTGGGAGGAGGGACAGGGAGGCTGGGATGGGATTTGGATGCCTGAGAACCTCGGCACCAGTCAGACAAGACACCCAAATTGGCAAGAAATTTGCCAAATTTGCACTCCTGGAGGTGCTGCCCCAGCTCCATTCACACAAATTCCCCCCTCTGCCACCCCCTCCAGGCCACCAAACAGAGCATGGATGGCACTCCCTGGCCACCTCACCAAGTCCCTGTCACCACCCTCCTCATATTTAGAAATAAATATGGATTTATTTCTAGGGTGAGCATTTGCAGTCACCCACAACCCTGATATCAAAAACCCCCCCAGTGAGACAGACTGGGGGTAAATTATTGTCCAGACCCACCCTGCAGGAGAAAATGCCAGGAGAATTCCATCAGCAGGAAACACTTTTCCTTCCATCCCCCAAGAACTGATCACATTTACAGCTTTCCTGGAGTTTGGACTTGCTTGCATTACAACACTGAATCACTTCCTATTTTTTGGCAGCCCCACCTGAGAGTGTTCATAGGCAGAACCCCCCTCAGGAATCCACCCCAAATCCATTGGAATGGACTCATTCCCCTCCTGGATTTCCTTTCTGAGCCCCTGGTCGATGAAAATAATACAGTTCTTCCTTTCTGAGCCCCTGGTCCATGAAATTCCTGCTGTTCTTCCTCCTGGATTTCCTTTCTGAGCCCCTGGTCCATGAAATTCCTGCTGTTCTTCCTCCTGGATTTCCTTTCTGAGCCCCTGGTCCATGAAATTCCTGCTGTTCTTCCTCCTGGATTTCCTTTCTGAGCCCCTGGTCCATGAAATTCCTGCTGTTCTTCCTCTTGGATTTCCTTTCTGAGCCCCTGGTCCATGAAATTCGTGCTGTTCTTCCTCCTGGATTTCCTTTCTGAGCCCCTGGTCCATGAAATTCCTGCTGTTCTTCCTCCTGGATTTCCTTTCTGAGCCCCTGGTCCATGAAATTCCTGCTGTTCTTCCTCCTGGATTTCCTTTCTGAGCCCCTGGTCCATGAAATTCCTGCTGTTCTTCCTCCTGGATTTCCTTTCTGAGCCCCTGGTCCATGAAATTCCTGCTGTTCTTCCTCCTGGATTTCCTTTCTGAGCCCCTGGTCCATGAAATTCCTGCTGTTCTTCCTCCTGGATTTCCTTTCTGAGCCCCTGGTCCATGAAATTCCTGCTGTTCTTCCTCCTGGATTTCCTTTCTGAGCCCCTGGTCCATGAAATTCCTGCTGTTCTTCCTCCTGGATTTCCTTTCTGAGCCCCTGGTCCATGAAATTCCTGCTGTTCTTCCTCCTGGATTTCCTTTCTGAGCCCCTGGTCCATGAAATTCCTGCTGTTCTTCCTCCTGGATTTCCTTTCTGAGCCCCTGGTCCATGAAATTCCTGCTGTTCTTCCTCCTGGATTTCCTTTCTGAGCCCCTGGTCCATGAAATTCCTGCTGTTCTTCCTCCTGGATTTCCTTTCTGAGCCCCTGGTCCATGAAATTCCTGCTGTTCTTCCTCCTGGATTTCCTTTCTGAGCCCCTGGTCCATGAAATTCCTGCTGTTCTTCCTCCTGGATTTCCTTTCTGAGCCCCTGGTCCATGAAATTCCTGCTGTTCTTCCTCCTGGATTTCCTTTCTGAGCCCCTGGTCCATGAAATTCCTGCTGTTCTTCCTCCTGGATTTCCTTTCTGAGCCCCTGGTCCATGAAATTCCTGCTGTTCTTCCTCCTGGATTTCCTTTCTGAGCCCCTGGTCCATGAAATTCCTGCTGTTCTTCCTCCTGGATTTCCTTTCTGAGCCCCTGGTCCATGAAATTCCTGCTGTTCTTCCTCCTGGATTTCCTTTCTGAGCCCCTGGTCCATGAAATTCCTGCTGTTCTTCCTCCTGGATTTCCTTTCTGAGCCCCTGGTCCATGAAATTCCTGCTGTTCTTCCTCCTGGATTTCCTTTCTGAGCCCCTGGTCCATGAAATTCCTGCTGTTCTTCCTCCTGGATTTCCTTTCTGAGCCCCTGGTCCATGAAATTCCTGCTGTTCTTCCTCCTGGATTTCCTTTCTGAGCCCCTGGTCCATGAAATTCCTGCTGTTCTTCCTCCTGGATTTCCTTTCTGAGCCCCTGGTCCATGAAATTCCTGCTGTTCTTCCTCCTGGATTTCCTTTCTGAGCCCCTGGTCCATGAAATTCCTGCTGTTCTTCCTCCTGGATTTCCTTTCTGAGCCCCTGGTCCATGAAATTCCTGCTGTTCTTCCTCCTGGATTTCCTTTCTGAGCCCCTGGTCCATGAAATTCCTGCTGTTCTTCCTCCTGGATTTCCTTTCTGAGCCCCTGGTCCATGAAATTCCTGCTGTTCTTCCTCCTGGATTTCCTTTCTGAGCCCCTGGTCCATGAAATTCCTGCTGTTCTTCCTCCTGGATTTCCTTTCTGAGCCCCTGGTCCATGAAATTCCTGCTGTTCTTCCTCCTGGATTTCCTTTCTGAGCCCCTGGTCCATGAAATTCCTGCTGTTCTTCCTCCTGGATTTCCTTTCTGAGCCCCTGGTCCATGAAATTCCTGCTGTTCTTCCTCCTGGATTTCCTTTCTGAGCCCCTGGTCCATGAAATTCCTGCTGTTCTTCCTCCTGGATTTCCTTTCTGAGCCCCTGGTCCATGAAATTGGCAGCCCCACCTGAGAGTGTTCATAGGCAGAACCCCCCTCAGGAATCCACCCCAAATCCATTGGAATGGACTCATTCCCCTCCTGGATTTCCTTTCTGAGCCCCTGGTCCATGAAATTCCTGCTGTTCTTCCTCCTGGATTTCCTTTCTGAGCCCCTGGTCCATGAAATTCCTGCTGTTCTTCCTCCTGGATTTCCTTTCTGAGCCCCTGGTCCATGAAATTCCTGCTGTTCTTCCTCCTGGATTTCCTTTCTGAGCCCCTGGTCCATGAAATTCCTGCTGTTCTTCCTCCTGGATTTCCTTTCTGAGCCCCTGGTCCATGAAATTCCTGCTGTTCTTCCTCCTGGATTTCCTTTCTGAGCCCCTGGTCCATGAAATTCCTGCTGTTCTTCCTCCTGGATTTCCTTTCTGAGCCCCTGGTCCATGAAATTCCTGCTGTTCTTCCTCCTGGATTTCCTTTCTGAGCCCCTGGTCCACAAAATTCCTGCTGTTCCTCCTCCTGGATTTCCTTTCTGAGCCCCTGGTCCATGAAATTCCTGCTGTTCCTTCTCCTGGATTTCCTTTCTGAGCCCCTGGTCCATGAAATTCCTGCTGTTCCTCCCTTTCACCATCTCCCTGTGCTGGGTCCTACCTTTGGTGGGATGTGCTCTGTGTGGCCTGGATCCAGAAAAATTCCATCCCAGGTGACACCCAGGAGCTCAGCCCTGTGCACAACATTCCTGCTCCTGATCTACCTGAGACACATTTACTGCGACTGCATCCACCAAATCTGCTCTGGGCTGTGCTGAAACACAGAAACAAACCAACAAAAACGGGGTGAGAAATGCAGAGTTCAGCTCTGAGCTGAGCCCTCAGCCTTTGGTGTGCTTCCCTTTCCCTGTAAAACGAGGATATTGATATTTCCCAACTGATAAAATGAGGTTTTGGGAGGGTTGTGCTTCACCTGGGAGGCGCCAAGTTCTGTGTGAAGTGATTTTTGCCAGCCTAGGACAGGGATCAGCTTTTTCCATTGTTCTCCTGATGGATCCACCACATGGAAAAATGCCTGGTGCAGTGATGGCTCAGGAATAGTGATGCAGGTGGTTTTATTTAAAGCAATAACATCAAAGCAAAACCTCTGCTGATTCAGCTCATAAAAATCATTGATGCATAAAATCCAACAATAATTGTCAAGAAAGAAAAGGGGAAGGGAGCATTGGGAGAACAGAGGAAGAAAAGGCAACCCAACCCCATAAATGCACACAAGACAGTTTAACTCTTTCATGAAGCATTTGCACCCTTGTGTGGGGGGAAAAAAAAAAAAAAGTGGATGTGGAAAAAATTCTGTGGGAACTGGAGGGAGATGGAATTAAGAAAAGCCATCTCTTTTCCACGTTATCTATCTTGGATGGAAGCTTCTGGTCCAGCCAGCAGCTTGGGAATGTCTTCATTTACAATATTCCTTCCTGAAATCTGAAAGCAAATGGAAACAGGGGGTCAGCACCTGGAGAGAGACTTCAAACCATTCAAAGAAGCACAAAAATATGGATTTATTTCTAGGGTGAGCATTTGCAGTCACCCACAACCCTGATATCAAAACCCCCCCAGTGAGACAGACTGGGGGTAAATTATTGTTCAAACCCACCCTGCAGGAGAAAATGCCAGGAGAATTCCATCAGGGACAGCTCCTGGGCTCTCCATCCCCTGCTTGGTGTCATTTCAGCCCATTTTTTAAATCTTCATTGCCCTGGAATGAGTCATGGGATCTCAGAGCTGATCACAAGCCCTGGCTGACACAAGTGCTGTCCTACAGACACAGGCACAACCCTGGGGATGAATCCTGGATCAGCAAGAGGAGATCCAGCCCCCAGGGAGGGAGAGCTCTTTGCTTTTCTTGGATGGAGTAACTGCCCATTACCCAGAAATTAATTCCACTCCAAACACTCTCCTTCTGCACTGTGTTTTCTGCCCAAACACCATGCCAGGACATTTTTGGGCTGCATCTCCCTCCCTCTGAGGTCACAGCAGAGCAGGCACAGTTCCAGCCCTGCCAAGCTTTCTTTTTCCAATCAAGAAAAATTCCAATTTGTGCCATGCCCAAAGCTTTTAAAAGCCTAATCACTGCTTGCATCTCATGGCTCCGTGATGAAAGGATGGGAAGGCAGCTGGCTTCTCATTCCTGCTTCTGCCATGAGGTTTCTCATTCCTCTTTGGCTGTGCCTTGGTCACTCACTGATGGACTGTTCCCACCAGAAGCTCCCTGCAGCCACCAATTAAGGGGAAGAAAGTCATGATTACCTTTGTCTAAATCAATGTTCTTTGCTGGGAAGCTCCTGGCTTGCTCAGCCTTCTCCTTCAGGATGTTGTTTTTGTAATCTGTGCAAGGGAGGAGCAGGATTCACACAGGAATTAGGATATGAAAAGAAAACAAGAGTTTGAGGAGCAGGACAGAGGTGATCAGCCCTTCCTTGCTGTGCTCTAGGACTGGCATCTCTGATTTCTAGGAATTATTTGTGGAGTTACTCAGCAGGAAAACAGCTCTGACTTCATTTTAGCCCCTGGCATTCATCAGTTGTGCAAACTTCAGCTCCCTGCTCCTCACAGGCAGCACAGATCCTTCCAGCTCTGGATTATCTCCTCAAAGCTCACCTGGAGGTGACTGATGCAATTATCCAGAGATTTTGCTCTCCTGGGACACACAGAGAAGGATTTTTGCAACCCAGCCTCTGCAAGCCAATGGTTTTTTGGGGTTTTTTGTCTTTTTTTTTTCTTTTTTTTTTTCTTTTTTTTTTCTGGGCCTTTACAGCAATTCTTGGGACCTAAGGTTTGTCAGCTTTTTCTTTTAAAGGTTGTACCTTTACTGGAGATGCAAATAAAAAAACCAAAGGGACAATTATCTCCTGGTTTATCCAGCAAGTTGCAGAACTTGGCATCATGAAAAGGCTTCAGGAACCTCAGGGTGGTGCAGACAAGAGCAGCAGTTTTTTGGAATGGATTCACTCCAAATCCCAGCAAGAACCAAGCCCTGATCAATTACTGACACAAGAAACTCAAGGCTGCACCTTCAAACCCCAGCAAGGAGCAGCATCTACCTTCAGGAATGCTGGAAATTCCCCAAATCTGTCCTATAAATCCCAAAAAAAACATTTTCACAGTATGAGATGGGCTTCCTTCCCCTCTTCCCTTTCATTTTACCACGAGTTCCAGGGGGATTTGTATTTTCTCTTTTCTACCTCAGATATTCTTCCCCTCACTCTCTGTTCATCTGCCCTAATTGCTAGCACAGAAGGCCCAAATGCTCACTGAATTATTTGACATCCAGGGAGGAGAAAATCAGAAAGTTAAACCAAAGTGGCTTCAGCAGAAGGTGGAGACAATGAACTCAACAAACTCAGGACTTCTCCTTACTCAATTTTGATCAAATAAAACCCATACCCACTTCCAGAGGTTAAAAAATGGGTTAAGTCACTCCCAAATATCCAAGTGCCATTAGAAATTTCGGATTTACAAGGATTCTGAGCTGGTTTGGTGGCCAGGGATACCTACCCAGCCTGATGTCTTCACTTTTCTGTGGGGTCAGATCTGTTGTGTCCACTGTAAATTCTTTAAGATTCACATCCTTCCTGAAAAGGGAATAATGGTGGGAAATGGTATTGTCCCATCTTTTAATAACTGGCTCCTTTCACACTTTTTCCCATTAGCTTTTCTAATTCTTTATATAATTTAATTAATTTTTAATTTTTTCCCCCACCCGTTTGTCCTGATCTTAGAACAATGGGCAGCCAATCCTGGAATTTCCTCCTCTTTTCCACTTTAATCCTATAAAATAAGGCCTGGAGGAGCCCAGCTCCATGATCCTGGCCCCATCTCACAGCAGATCTGTGCATTATTCCCTTCCCACCAGCTCCCAAGGACATCTCACAGAAACTCCATCCCCCAGTCAGCTCCCAAAGGGTAACAAGAGGAAGTTCAGTTTCCAAATCAGCCCCACAAACCATTTTCTCTTTCCACTTCCTCCTCCTAACCAGATTTTCAGCTGGTTTAGGCTCTTAGCAGAGGAGGAAATTAAAATTGTTTCATTTAAATGCATTCTAAACCTAATTAATAATATTAATTACATTACAATTGATTATACTTACTCTCCATATTTCTTCACGTTGTATTCATAACCTAACCAGGAGGAAAAAGCAGAATGAGCAGAATGATGACCCTGGGGGTCTTTTCCAACTCCAACAATTCCACAAAATCAAGGTCTGGATATTTTCACACCACACCAGCCCTGCAAATCCTGGACACCTGAGCTCCCAAGGGACAAATCCCACCTGTGAGGGGCTTTCCTTCTCCCTTCTATGGAGAAAATCAGGAGTGGGGTTCAGCCAAAGCCTGGAGGTGATGACCCTGGGGGTCTTTTCCAACCCCAACAGCTCCACAAAATCAAGGTCTGGACATTTTTATACCACACCAGCCCTGCAAATCCAAGACACCTGAGCTCCCAAGGGATAAATTCTGCCTGAGAAAGGCTTTTCTTCTGCTTTCTAAGGAGCAAATCAGCAAATCTGGAGTGGGATTCAACCAAAGCCTGGAGGTGGTGACCTTGGAGGTCTTTTCCAACCCCAACAATTCCATAATATCAAGGCCTGGACATTTTCACACCACACCAGCCCTGCAAGTCCTGGACACCTGAGCTCCCCAGGGACAAATCCCACCTGTGAGGGGCTTTCCTTCTCCCTTCTATGGAGAAAATCAGGAGTGGGGTTCAGCCAAAGCCTGTAGGTGATGACTCTGGGGGTCTTTTCCAACCCCAACAACTCCACAAAATCAAGGTCTTGGACATTTTTATCCCACACCAGCCCTGCAAATCCAAGACACCTGAGCTCCCAAGGGATAAATTCTGCCTGAGAAAGGCTTTTCTTCTGCTTTCTATGGAGCAAATCAGCAAATCAAACCAAAGCCTGGAGGTGATGACCCCGGGGGTCTTTTCCAACCCAAATAACTCCACAAAATCAAGGTCTGGATATTTTTACACCACACCAGCCCTGCAAATCCTCCCCCTGGGCAGGTTCCTGGTTTTCCAGGAGGGGATCCCTGCCTGCAGCACTGCTCCTGGCAGGAATGATTGCAGGCCAGGTCAGGATTTCCCTGGACTCACCTCTCTGGCGGCGCCTGCGGGTGACGAGCACCACGATGATGAGGAGGACGAGGAAGAGCAGCAGAGTGGCCAGGATGTAGCCCAGCTGCTGGAAGAAGTGCATCCTGCTCTCAGGGATGATGACATTGATGACATTGTGGCCCCTGACCACGTTTGGATCTGAGGGAAGGAGAACAGGAGGCATCACTGGAAGCGGGATCACATGTGGGAACGCTCAGGGAGGAATTCTGAATGGCAAGAATGAATCAGTGCCTGATTTCTCGTAATTCCCAGGGTTTAACAGAATCCCTTCTCTAGGATCAGTGATCCCTGGCCTTCAGAGTGTTCTTGCAGGGGGGAATTTCAGAGCAAAGCCAGTCCCAAACCTTCCAGAGGGTCCCAAAACCTTCCTCTGGGTCCCTTTCAACACAAACTCCACGCTGCTCTGGCTCCAGACAGCAGCCCCTCCTTGCCAAGGGTTATAATTTATGGAGTGGGAAGAGTTTTCAGAGCCAAAAAATGAGCTTCCTTTGAAATGAAATAAGATCAATAAAATAAATAAACACCCCCAAAAGCAGAGGAAAGCCAAGATTCCATTCCTTTTGAGGGTGCAGCAGGATTTCTGTCCCACAGAACAGGGAAGGGGAGCTCAAAGCTTTTACGTGGAACATTTTTTTTTTGGTAGATCTCAAATAAATAGGTCAATGTTTCACACATGTAAAGAGGAAGTGACTTCTCTGCTTGCAACAGTCAGAGGAATGGACAAAGCCAGCCCAGGCATGGATGGAATCCCACAGGACTCTGCTGGGAGAGGGGTTTTTCCTTCAAAACAGAAAAAAACCCCTCCACCTTCACCCCTTACAGGGAATTTTCACAGAGCACCAGGCAAGATCAGGATGGAGCCCTCACTTCCCATTCCCTTGGGAGTTCCCCTGCTAATTATCCAGAGGGAATAAGGGGAAAAGTGGGGAAATAAGATCTCAAAAATACCTCAAAAGCCACAGCACCCTTTAGCAGATGCGTCCTGACACTTCTGGCAGTGCTGGCACTGGGACTGCTTCCCGTTTTTTGGGCAGTTTGTTTCCAGCAGTTAAAAATACCAACCCAGCAAAAATCAAATTAAATCAGGCAAGAGTGGGTTGAAATAAACACTCTGAAACCAGAGCTGGTTGTTTGCTAATGCCAACAGCAGTCCTAGAAAATCAAAAAGCTTGAGCAACGTGCTCTGTTCTGGTGGCCCAGTGCTCCACTCCTGCAGCACTCTGCTTTTACTGGGATTTCCAGTTCTCCCTGGATACAGAGCTGGAAAAACCATGGGATTTCCACCCTGCCAAGCTGGAAAGTATCAACTCAAACCAAGAAAGCCACTTGCAAAGCTGCAAACATGTGACAACTCTGCTGTGTCCCATCCCTGGCTCCTTGCTGCCATAATGAGATGGTGCCACAGCAAACAGAGCAATTTCTGTTCCTGGCTTTTTGCTTTCCCCCAGAACTGGGTAAGGGCTGGGTTTAAACTTCAGGCAACACTGAGGAGGTCACAACACGGAGTGGAAACAGAGATTTAATAGCTTTGGGTAATGGGATGTATCCCATTTGATAACTGGGGAAACTGAGGCACAGCTCAGTCCCACTGTCAGTGCCCAGGGCAGGACCACGAGGTCACACAGACTCCTCCTCACCCTACACCAGAATTGAAGCTGGGGTGGTGAAGGTTTATTCTGTAACCAAGATCTGATCTCACACCCACCCTGCCCCAAATTCACTCCCAGGACATTTTAACCACTGAAAAAATAAATCCCAATGGTGAAGGGGAAACCTTAAATTTAAGAAGTGCCTCAACATGATCTTCCCAAAGCATCAAAGACCAAACTGTTCTGCTGGAAAAGGTGGAGAGCTCCCCACAAGGTTTGCCAATATTTTAGCACTCATCATGAGGCACAACAGATTCCTCAGGCACCTGCTGCAGAGCAAACCCTGAGTAAAAATACTCTTTTAGTAAATATCCACCACATTTGCACTGCTGAGCCTGAGAGCAGCACTGAGCCCCTGCCTCTGCTCCAAACAGGATGAACTTTCCTTCTGGGAATGGAGCTTGGAGCAAGGCCAGGAGCTGAGGCTGCTGCCTGGTAAAAGCTCCTGGGTTTGCTTTTGGTGTCTCCCCGTTGCTGTTGTGCTCCCCAGAAGAATTCCAGGCAGTTTTTTGTGGAATGGGGCAATCAGCCTCCCCTGGCAGGGCTGGAGAAGGAAACCTCTGGATGTCTCCAGGGCTCACACATTCCCATGGACTCAGCACATTTTTGGGAGTGCTGAGGGGTCCCAAAGCTGCTGGTTTGGACAGAGGAAGTGGCTCCTGCCAGGAAGGGAAATTCCTCCAGCACAGCCAGGTTAAATCACCCAGAGATTCCACCTCCCTTCTGAGCAGGTGGGAAATACTCAGGACAGTATCCTCAATAAATTTGTGGGTGAACTACTCTGGAAGCAAGATCTGGTTTCCATCTGTGGATAAGGATCAAGGGCTGTGTGCAGGAACTCTCATATTTGGATATCCTGGTTTCCAGCCACCTCTCTCAGCACTGCCTGGATTTTCTGGACACCAACCTTAGCCCCAGGGAAAAAGTTTAGGTCTCTATGACTTGAGAAAGCCAATTTCTTACAGGAGAATAAACCTATTTAAAAATGTATGAAGCAAATCAAAATTCTGTATTAAACAGCCAATAAATATTAAAACACAATGAATATTTTAAAGTGTTAATAAAAAACTATACCCAAAAGACTTTAAAAAAAATTAAACTTGGGATTTTTGTTTTGTTTTTCTGCCTGAACGAAGTGTGATGGTTTTGAGTTTGGACAGGCTGACAGATGATAGCTCAGTGCAGTGGAAAATATGAAAATTGGTTTATGGCACACACACACACACACACAAAAAAAAAAAAAAAAAAAAAAAAGAAAATAAAAGAAAAGCTGTTTATCTGAGCAAAATTCCTGGTGGTTGATTCTGCATGGTCTGGCACCTTGCACAGCCTAAACATCCGTGCAAAGGGGAGAAAAACTCTGGTGGGAAGAGCTGTGACAGCAAAGGCAGGGCTGCATCACCCCCCTGCCCACACCTCCATAAAGGCACGGAGGAAAGAGAGCCAAAAAAAAGGGAGAGGGAGCTGCACAAAAACACAAACCAAACCCAGCTTGTTTGCCTGGGGCCTGCCAGCAGTGCAGAACTGCCCTGGGGCACTAAGTCAAGGTGATAGGTCAGAAAAGCAAAATAAATCCTGGGCCAACGTTGGGTTAGAAAGCTCTATATTGCCTTGTCATGAAGAACCTGTGACTCTCTTGAGCTGTGGCTGACTGCTTGCCCTTGTAAATCTCAGGGCTTCTGATGTTTATCTGAGCAATAAATCATTCTTGGTATGATTCCAATTGTTCTTGGTATGGTCCCATTGTGTTGGAACCCTGGCTGTTGAGAAATTCAGAGTTTCTGTACAGACAGACTCTGACCCCCTGGAGAACACTGCATTTGACCTGAGGCTGTGGAGAAGGCTTCCAAAATGGAATGATAGAATTGGGATTATGGGTGTGGAGTTGGTCAGAAGTGTGTAATGTCACAGGGTGGAAAACTGAGAGTTTGGGGGTTTAGAATATAGAAATAAATATGAAGCAAGATGAAGGTTTTAGGGCAGAGGCAGGTTGTTCTTCTTTACCTTCTTCTTCCTTCTTCTTCCTTCTTCTCCATGGGTTTGGATGGTTTTGTGTAATTGGACAGAAAAGTCCACATTGTGGACTTCAAATGATCAGTTATTGGGTTAAAAGTGAAAATAATTTAGGTATAATTTCCTAATTGGACAGTTTAGCCTTAAAAGATCTTGTACCAAGAGATAGTTGGCTATTTTGTGCCATCTTGGTGAAAAACTGCAGAACTCACTGCTGTGAGGCTGTAACATTGATAAGAAACAACAAACACCTGAGTCTGAACACAACCCATCGTCTCAAGTGCCTTCAATCCCAGCCTCGACAGAGGCAGAAAAAGCAAATTGAGAACCCACAGCACTCCTTTAAATGAATGTGATGCCTGCAACAGTGCCCAGGGCAGGGCCTGCAAGGCCTCCCTGGTGGTCAGCTGGATAGGAAATGCCCAGCCATGATGACAGCACCAAAAAAGCCTCTCTTCCACCCTCAGACCCTCGTTATCTCTCTGTAAGACCTCAGGTCATATTCACCTCGACCCCTACCATTGGACAACTTCCAAAACTCCTAAACCTGATATAAACACCCTGCTCTGCCCAGCTCGGCAGAAGAGCTGCCAGTGAGACCCCTTGCAGAAGATACCAATAAAGACATCTCTGAGGAACCTCAATAAAGACATCTCTGAGGAACCCCAATAAAAACATCTCTGTGGAACCCCAATAAAGGCATCTCTGAGGAACCTCAATAAAGACATCTCTGTGGAACCTCAATAAAGGCATCTCTGAGGAGCCTCAATAAAGACATTTCGTCTCTCTCCCTGTGTCTGCCAAAGGCACTCGGCAAACAAAGAGCTGAAATCACTAAAGAGCTGAAATCACTAAAAAGCTGTCACAACCCAGGACATCCCTCTGGGTGCCCTGGATGGCTCGAGTCCCTGGCAGGAAGCCAAAGACACTTGGGATTTCAATCTTAACCCATGGAGCAAATTACCAAGTTTGTATGAAGAATTAAAACTCACAAAAGTTTAAGTAGCATAACAGTAGTTGTCACAGGGTGAAAAGTAGAATTCTGGGATTTTTAGAAGGGGGGTTTGGAGTCCCAAGATGGAGGAATTTGAGCGTTCCCTGTCCTTCTTCTTTCCCCTTCCTAACCTCCATGTTCTGGGTGATGCTGGCACTTTTGGATTGGTTTAGAGTAGAAGTAGACAATCTATTGGTATTGGAAAATAATGGTTAATAAAGTACACAGTACTTTAAATAAACAAAAAATAAATAAAACAGTAGTTTTTAGTATAAAGAGACAGCAACACCTCAGGGCAGGGCAGTGTGCCCTTGACAGACCTGCTGAACAGACCTCTGCGGGTCTGGAAAAGAATGTTTTACATAAAAGACAATAAACAACTTTGAAAACCAGAGCTGAAGAATTCTGACTCTTTCTTCGACCATTGGGCTGGGAAAAAAAGAACTCTCGGGGTGTATTGACCACAGGAAACCTGAGAAAGAGCTGAAATCACCCAAGAGCTGAAATCACTCAAGGGAGCTGAAATCACCCCAGACAGCTGAAATCACCCAAGAGAGCTGAAATCACCCAAGAGAGCTGAAATCACCAAAGAGAGCTGAAATCACTCAAGAGAGGTGAAATCACTCAAGAGAGCTGAAATCACCCAAGAGCTGAAATCACCAAAGAGAGCTGAAATCACCCGAGAGCTGAAATCACCCAAGACAGCTGAAATCACCCAAGACAGCTGAAATCACTCAAGAGAGCCGAAATCACCCAAGAGCTGAAATCACTCAAGAGAGCTGAAATCACCAAAGAGCTGAAATCACCCAAGAGAGCTGAAATCACACAAGAGAGCCAAAATCACCCAAGAGAGCCAAAATCACCCAAGAGCTGAGCTTGCTAAGACTGCCTGCAGCCCTGAAGCCTGCCTGAGGGGCCCAGACAGGTTGTGCTTAACTGAACTTCTCTGTCTGGGACACCCAAAAACCCCAGGGCCGCACCACAGTCCATCTCTACAAGGCCACTCACCCGCAGCAGGGACCACGGCGTGCGTGGTGATGTTCACCACCTTCCTCTCCCTCTCTGGCTCCGTGACGGCCACGTGGTAGATCCTGCGCTCGTGCAGCCCGCAGTAGTGGTGGTGCAGGTGGCACGAGTAGGTGCCCTCGTCGGCGCTCTCCAGGCGGGAGATGCGCAGCGAGAAGTCTCCGAGGGCGAAGGCGCCGCGGGTGACGTTCATCTTCTGCCGCAGGAACTGGGGCCCGTAGGAGCGGCGCTCGCCGGAGGCGTACAGATCCACCAGGCGGTCGGCGCGGTCCTGGGGCACCCCGGGGGGCTGCCGGTCCCAGTGCACCACCTGCTGCTCCTCCTCGCTGTGCCGCTCCGTCCAGATGTGCTGGCGGTTGACGCACGGCAGCGTCACCGTGCTGCCCTCCGGGGCCACCAGCACCGGCTTCTCGCCGTCCCAGTACTCGCTGGCCTCCTCGCCTGGTGGGGAACACAACTTTGGAATGGGTTTGCTCCACTAGTTTTTGTCCCACCCGTTCCTGGTTTTCCAGCATGATTGATTTAAGTTTCCGTGTTGTGATGTTTTGTGTAGGCTGAGCTGGAACAGAGGCTGGGCAGAGTTAAAGAATTTTATCAGCTCAGCATCAGCAGTGCACATCAAGGGCTGGGCATTAGGACAAAGCAGCTGCTTGGGATTAGGAGGAGAAATCTGGGAGATGGGGAGAGGAAAACACACTTCAACCTGAGCAGCAGCTTCTTGGAAATATTTGGAGTGATGCCTTGGGAAGGCTGACCTAGAACAGACTCCCAGTGCTGTAACACTCCTTTCCTGTTCTCCTGCAGCCCCCAGGATCAACGGGCACCCCAAGCTGGACAGGCACCGGGAGCACCCCCCTGGCTACGACAGCTCCTCCACCATGCTGAGCAGCGAGCTGGAGTCCAGCAGCTTCATCGACTCCGAGGACGACGACAACACCAGCAGGTACTGCCCTCAGGGCCTCAGCTCTGGGCTCTTCTCAATCCACCTTCTCTTTCTTTTGTGTTTCTTTTTTTGTTTGGATTGTTTGGGGTTTTTTGTGTTTGGTTTTTTTTTTTTTCCTTTAATTTCTTTTGTGATTCTGATGCCTTTTGTGAAGGCTGCCCTAGAGCAGAGGCTGGACAGAGCTAAAGAATAAAGCAGGGATTTATGAAAAGGATCTCCTCCATGGATCCACCTTGGGCAGCACAAGAGCCCAGCCAGGGCTGCACCCAAGATGAACCCAAATGGTCCCAAAATGAACCCAAGGTGAACCAGAATGGTCCCAAAATGCACGATGGTCACGGGGTCTCTCCCTGGGATCAGCTCTGCTCCATGTGCACATTGCAGTTCAGTGTCCAATTCCAGCTCAGCCCCTGCACTCCCATCCTTGTTTTTCTCTCTCCAGCCCACGGGGTTTGTGCTCTTGGGCTGAGATTTGGATCATTTGTCCTTGGTCCCCAGCTGGAGCAGGAATTGTTTTGTCTCCCTGCTCTGTGCACAGAGCTCACCATCTCCTGATATGAAGCTCAAACCCACACACTAAAGCAGCACAGAATGTGAAAAACAGAAAAGCCAAAACCTGAGGCATCACCCAGGTTTCCTTTCCTTGGCCAAAACCAGCAAAATTTTAGGCCAATTTTCTATCGTACACCGCGATCTCATGGGCACGGTCAATGTGAAATTCCCACTCAACATCAAGTGTCAAGGACACCTGAGATTGCTCCCACACCCTGGAACCCTGAATTCCAAGTGTCAAGGACACCCAGAGACACCTGAGACTGCTCTCTCTCTCTAAAACTTCACAAGACTGGAATCCTATAACACACTCCCTCCCAAAATCTTAAAAGTGCCACGTGGCACTGCCTGAACATGCATGAACATGAACAAGCCTGGCTTTTTCACATTTATTTCAGCAGTTATTAAAAAAAACCACCTTTATCCTCTAACATCCTTGGCCATTTCATGAAGCAGGGCCACTTTCTCCTCCTTCTAACTCAGAGTTAATCTCCTGCTTCAGAGAGCAGGAAGCAAATTCCCTCCACAGGCTAAGAATGGAACGAGGACCTTCATCCCAATCCTCTGAGCAGGAAATGCTTTCCTACCCACAAAGGCCCTAATTACTGGAGGAGCTGAAGCAGCACTGCTCTGTGTTTGGCTCTTGAAAAGGAATAACAGAAGCAGCCAGAGCACAGAGGAGCAGACTGGGGCTCTCAGGGTGTTTTTATTGCACTGTGAGAGCAGCAGAGGAGATGCACTTCCACCCCAGCAGCTCCACTGGTGTTATGCAGAGGTTTAAATGGATTTTTAATGGGTGCCTGTGTGGATGGGTGGGACTCCCTGCAGCTGCCAACAGCTGGAGTTTGGAGCTGGGCTTAAGGTGTGGTGGGTTTTTAAGTACAGGCTGCCCAGGGCAAGCTCAGCAGCCTGAGCACAGGCAGGTCCTTGTGGCTGAGCTGAGCTGAGGGTGTGGATTGTCACCAGGGAGGGATTGTCACCAGGGAGGGACTGTCACCAGCGGGGGACTGTCACCAGGGAGGGATTGTCACCAGGGGGGGACTGTCACCAGGGAGGGATTGTCACCAGGGGGGGACTGTCACCAGGGGGGGACTGTCACCAGGGAGGGATTGTCACCAGGGAGGGATTGTCACCAGGGGGGGACTGTCACCAGGGGGGGACTGTCACCAGGGAGGGATTGTCACCAGGGAGGGATTGTCCCCAGGGGTGTACTGCTGATGCTGCAGGGACAGTTTGGTAACGACCAAGAGCAAGCACTGAGCTAAGGTTCCAGGCACTGTCTGGCCAAGGAAGATGAGAGGTTTGTAAATAAAGCCTCTGAAAGTCAGGCAGCAAACAGCACAGAGAGCACCAGGCTCTGCTGGTGCTTCCCAAGCCTCCTGTGGCAGCTGCAGAACCCGGGGCTGTCCCCACACCCACCTCTCTTGGCGACGACCAGCTGGATTTTCACCGTTTCGTACAAGTGGCAGTAGTGATGGTGAAGATTACAGGAATATGTGCCTGCATCACTCTCTGCAACACCTGTAGAGCAGGGAAGAGAGAGGAATTCAGTGATTTATACTGAGACAATATTATTTGTGTCATTTGCAGTTTCCCAAATCCTTGTCTGGATGTAAACAACTTCATTCTAAGCCATCCTTATCACCAGGGTGGGTTAAGCAGAGACAAATCCTCTCACCCAATATAAAGATTTGGTCACCTAATGAAATAATTTGCTCAGTTGATTTGCTCTTGTGTGCAGAAATTTGTGTATTTCTTATGAGTAGAAATCTGTGTATTTCTGTTAACAGGTGGAAAGAGGAAGCTGGTTTAGGTTTAGCTGAGAGCAGGGAACAATGGCCATGGAGTGTTTACAGTTCAGGAACTGAATCACAACCAAAGGGCCACAAAAAGCCCAGGTGGCTTTCAAATTGTTGCAAAGTCTCATTCAAAACAGGTCGGTTTCAAAGGCAAATAAAACCCTCAGTGCTTCAGAGACCCTCACACAATCACTGAGGTTGGAAAAGAGCTCCAAGATTGAGTCCAGCCTCAATCCCCACCTTGTCCCCAGCCCAGAGCACTGAGTGCCATGTCCAGTCCTTCCTTGGTCACCTCCAGGTGTGGGGACTCCACCACCTCCCTGAGCAGCAATTCCCACTTTTAACAACCCTTTCCAGGGGAAAAAAATCCTCTTTATCCAGCCTGAACCTCCCCTGGGGCAGCTGGAAGCTTCACTTTGAAGCAAAACCAGAGAGCTGCCCAGGAGCAGTGCATGAGTTTGGGGAAAATTCCTCAACTTCTTCCTGCCTTGAGTCTCCAGCTGGAAGCTCCACTTCCCTAAGTGCCCAAGGACAAAAAATTAATTAATGCAACAGTCCAGGTATGCAGGTATTTGGTGAGAGGGAATGCTGAGAGGGTTTTGATCTGCTGAATGTGCTGAGCTGGGCAGGTTTTCTGGGATAGACTTGGAGGGGCACAAGTAACCACGGTGAGCACTGAGTGCCAGCAGTGCACTGAGATTGCTCCCAGACCCTGGAATCCTGAATTCCAAGTGTCAAGGATAGCCAGGCACACCTAAAATTGCTCCCAGAGCAGGGATGGGGTCTCCCCCATCTCCCTGGGCAGTTCCAAACCCTAAAATTCCTCCTGAGAATTAGACTTATTAACCTGGCATTCACAGAATGATCAGGTTGGAAGAGACCTTAGAGATCATCAAGTCCAACCCATACCCTAACTAAACCACAACTAAACCACAACCCTAACATAACCTCAACTAAACCACAAATCCATTTATCAAAAACCATGCTGTGAACCACCCAGGGGGAAAAAAACCTCCACACCTTTGATCACCAGCGAGAAATTCCCATCTGCAAAGGCATGTGCACCACCCATTTCCACCAAAACCCAGGGGGAAAAAACCTCCACACCTTTGATCACCAGCGAGAAATTCCCATCTGCAAAGGCATTCTCGGGCATGAGGATCCTGCCCTGGTTGTAGGAGCTGTAGACACGTTGGTCCCCAGCTGAGTACATGTCACAGAGCCTCTCCATCCTGCTGTCCCCGTAGTAGGAGCTGAGCAGGTCCCAGTGCACCACGCGCTGCCGGTCGTTCAGGCGGTCCTGGGTCCACACCATGCGGTGGCTCTTGCAGGGCAGCACGGCCTGGGAGCCCAGAACTGCACTGATGTTCAGCACAGACACCACCACGCTGGTGGGGTTGGAGGCATCAGCTGGGACTGGAAAAAACAGGAGCAAACAGCAAAATAATGAGTTGTAGGGTTATGGAGTTAATGGTGTGGGAAGGAGATGGGGTGGAGTCAAGCCTGTGCTGGAATCTCTGTGTGGTTTTGATTCTGGTTTCAAGACCAGCATGGAGCAATGTCATGGAGAATCAAAGAATCCTAAGCTGAAAGGGACCCAGGAATCACTGATCCAACCTTATCCCTGCAGAGACACCCCAACAACCCCACCCTGTGCATCCCTGAGAGGGATCCAAACCCTCCTGGAGTTCTAGGGGCTGGGACCATTCCCAGGGGAACCTGCCCAGCACAGCCACCACCACGCTGGCTGGGTTGGAGGCATCAGCTGGGAGTGGAAAAAACAGGAGCAAACAGCAAAGAAAATGAGCTGTAGGGTTATGGAGTTAATGGTGTGGGAAGGAGATGGAGTGGGAGTCAGGCTTTTGATTCTGGTTTCAAGAGCAGCATGGAGAAATGTCATGGAGAATTCTGAGCTGGAAGGGACCCAGGAATCACTAATCCAACCTTATCCCTGCTCAGGCACTCCAACAACCCCACCCTGTGCATCCCTGAGAGGGATCCAAACCCTCCTGGAGCTCTAGGGGCTGGGACCATTCCCAGGGGAACCTGCCCAGCACAGCCACCACCACGCTGGCTGGGTTGGAGGCATCAGCTGGGAGTGGAAAAAACAGGAGCAAACAGCAAAGAAAATGAGCTGTAGGGTTATGGAGTTAATGGTGTGGGAAGGAGATGGAGTGGAGTCAAACCTGTGCTGGAATCTCTGTGTGGTTTTGATTCTGGTTTCAAGACCAGCATGGAGCAATGTCATGGAGAATCAAAGAATCCTAAGCTGAAAGGGACCCAGGAATCACTGATCCAACCTTATCCCTGCACAGACACCCCAACAACCCCACTCTGCACACCCCTGGAGCTCTTGGGGCTGGTGGAGCTCTTGGGGCTTGACTCTTGGATCATTCCCAAGGGAACCTGCTCAGCCCAGACAGCACCACGCTGGTGGGGTTGGAGGCATCAGCTGGGACTGGGAAAACCAGGAGCAAACAGCAAAGAAAATGAGTTGTAGGGTTATGGAGTTAATGGTGTGGGAAGGAGATGGAGTGGGAGTCAGGCTTTTGATTCTGGTTTCAAGAGCAGCACAGGGCATTGTCATGGAGAATCAAAGAATCCTAAGCTGAAAGGGACCCAGGAATCACTGATCCAACCTTATCCCTGCACAGACACCCCAACAACCCCACTCTGCGCACCCCTGGAGCTCTTGGGGCTGGTGGAGCTCTTGGGGCTTGACTCTTGGATCATTCCCAAGGGAACCTGCTCAGCACAGACACCACCACGCTGGTGGGGTTGGAGGCATCAGCTGGGACTGGGAAAACCAGGAGCAAACAGCAAAGAAAATGAGTTGTAGGGTTATGGAGTTAATGGTGTGGGAAGGAGATGGAGTGGGAGTCAGGCTTTTGATTCTGGTTTCAAGAGCAGCACAGGGCATTGTCATGGAGAATCAAAGAATCCTAAGCTGAAAGGGACCCAGGAATCACTGATCCAACCTTATCCCTGCACAGACACCCCAACAACCCCACTCTGCGCACCCCTGGAGCTCTTGGGGCTGGTGGAGCTCTTGGGGCTTGACTCTTGGATCATTCCCAAGGGAACCTGCTCAGCACAGACACCACCACGCTGGTGGGGTTGGAGGCATCAGCTGGGACTGGGAAAACCAGGAGCAAACAGCAAAGAAAATGAGTTGTAGGGTTATGGAGTTAATGGTGTGGGAAGGAGATGGAGTGGGAGTCAGGCTTTTGATTCTGGTTTCAAGAGCAACACAGGGCATTGTCATGGAGAATCCTGAGCTGGAAGGGACCCAGGAATCACTGATCCAGTCTTATCCCTGCACAGGCACCCCAACAACCCCACCCTGTGCATCCCTGAGAGGGATCCAAACCCTCCTGGAGTTCTTGGGGCTGGGACCATTCCCTGGGGAGCCTGGTCAGTGCTCCACTCAGGGGGAAGGGTCTTTTCCTAATAAATAAAACTTTAACACACAGATTTCATTCATGTCTGTAATCAGCACTGTACACTTGAGCTGTCCCACCCACCCTTCCTAATCCTGAGCCCCAGTTTAATCCAGGCTTAGAGACACCAGTGCATGGGATGCACAATCCATGGAAGTCAGCAATGAAAGCCCCTGTGCATGCCATGGAATCAGGGCCCTCTCACTCCTCTCAAGATCACAAAATCTGGCAGATTTACAGAGATGCCACTCACCTGAATATGAGCACACAGAACCTGTCAAAGCAGAAAATAAAGAGTGTTACTGACAACAAAAGGATAAAAAAGCTACAAATACACTCCAAGTCAGCAGCCACCTCTGGTGTTGCTCCATCTATTCCCCTTCCCTGTTAATGCTGATGTTTATATCTGGATGTTTGTATCCATTTCCCACTCCAGCCACACTCTTTGTCTGCACAGTTAATTCTGGGATGCTCTGGGTGCAGCAGCTCTCTCCAGCTCACATGACTCAGATCCACACAGGAGGAACTTTGCCAGAGATGAACCAATTCCTTTGATTCTGCATTTCTCTGGTCCACTCCCTCCTGCTCCTTGTGTGGGAGGGGTCTGGAAGGTCTCCTGGCATCAGGCTTTTGATTCCCAACACGGATTCCCAACACAACACCACCATTCATCTCTCCACTCAGCCAAACCCATCAAAATCACAGGAGGTTTTGTCCTGCTAATGTCAGAGGCACAAAGTCCTCCAGACAAAGACAGTATTTCAAAATTTTTTTAGCCCTGGAATTTATGAATTTCAAATTCAACTCCAGATTGGGGGTATTTTAGCACACCCCCAAGTGCTGAGAATTAACTTGGTTTCCTCCTCTTTTTCTATCACAAAGCACTGGGCAGCAGAGAACAAAAAATGAGCAGCAGTCTGTTGAACTGCCAGCTCAAAGGCACTTCAAACAGGAGGTATTTTTCCTTACATTTAAAATCTCAGCATCACAAAGAGAAAAATCACATCTTGGACAAGGTCTGTGCTCTCTGTATATAAGAAAGAGACATCATAATTCCATCATTTGATTGTCTCTGCACAATGTGTCAGCTGCAGCCCTTGTCTCTGCAAACCAGGACTTAGATTAGGCTTAGAAAAACAAAAGAATGATTTAAAAAATCCCTTCCACAGCACCAAATCAGCCAGGAAAAATCGGTGTCACTTGTGACAGGCCACCAGCTGAGGTGTCACTGTGACCTTGTGGCTGAAGGGGTGTGGTTCGCCCTGTGGCCAGGGGACAATGTCGTGACATGAGCAGCGATTTGGGAGCTGGGGAATGGTGTCTGAGGCTGCTTCCAAGCCCTGCACGAAGAACAAACTGATTTGGTGGGACAGAAACATCCTCTGCTGGCTCGGGCAGAGGAATGAAGGCATTTACTGCTCTCCTTTCCGCTGGCGAGCTAATGGGAAAAACACGGAGCAGCATCGAATTTACCAAACATTTAGGAATGCAGCACTGCAAATCCAAGGAGTGACAAAAGCTCTGAGCTCACACCAGCACCTGCCTCTGCACCTTTTTGGAGCCCTGCACCTTCCACCTGCCAGGGCAAGGACTTCCCTTCCCTTCCCTTCCCTTCCCTTCCCTTCCCTTCCCTTCCCTTCCCTTCCCTGGTGACAGCTCCAGCCCTGGGCTCAGCTGGGAGCAGGGATTTTGGTGAGTCAAGTGTAAAACCAAAGAGTTTTCATGCACCTGGTGACAGCTCTGACCTCTGTCCCCACAGCCTCCAGGACCTGGAGCTTCTAAACCTCAGCTGCCCTCAGACGTCCCTTCCCTTCCCTTCCCTTCCCTTCCCTTCCCTTCCCTTCCCTGGTGACAGCTCCAGCCCTGGGCTCAGCTGGGAGCAGGGATTTTGGTGAGTCAAGTGTAAAACCAAAGAGTTTTCATGCACCTGGTGACAGCTCTGACCTCTGTCCCCACAGCCTCCAGGACCTGGAGCTTCTAAACCTCAGCTGCCCTCAGAGCTGTCAACACAGATCTCAACTGTGGCTTTCATTTTAGAATTTCAAGTTCCATGGGGTGGAGAATCACTTTGTCTTCTCTGGGTGATGTAACCACAAAAAAAAAGAACCCAACAAAAGACAATTCTGTGCTGTCCCCTGACACATTCTGTGCTGAGTCAGCAGGATCCCAGAGATATTCTGTGGTCCCACAGTAGAGGAAGAGGAAAGCAGCCTGGAAAACGATTTCTTAATCCCTTGTAAAAGGCAGACCCAGCTCTTACTTCTTGAATCCCATCCATTTTTCATGTGAAGAATTAAGCCACAAAAAAAACCCCCCAAAAACAAACAAACAAAAAAGGCTGTGGGCAAATTAGAAGCAAAAGGCTGGGGCTGTGAAAGATGTGTGACATGCTCAGAGCTCTCCAGGCAGTGTCCTTGGAGGGGACAGGGACAGAAAATTGTCCCCTGAGCCCGGCCTGAACAATCCTGGGCTGAACTCCCTGCTGGGACTCAGGAGTTGCTGCTCAGTTCAGTGCTGAAGGAACCTCTGAGCTCCTGTTTCATACTGGGGGATGAAAAACAACCAGAGCAGAAAAGGACATGTTCTTGCCCAAATCTGTGTGTGCCAGATTCCTCATTTCTGCCACAAATCCCTCTGTTTGTAAGAGCTTTAATGGGCTCTGTGGGGTCATTACACAATTATGGGAAAAGCAGCAGGCAGTGCCACCAGGCTGTCCCCAAACCCTCTGGGGAGTGGCAGTGGCTCCATCCTGGCTCTTCAGGGGGCTGAGAGGCCCTGATGGCTTTGGTGCAGCAGCATCGAGGTGACAGTGACATAAATGAGCCCAGGGTTTTTAAACCCACCGAGCAGTAAGCAGGAGAAACATCTGGGCTCATCTGGAAGAGGGATATGGTGAACAAAACAGCTGAGCCCAGCCCGCAAGGCTCAGCTTTTCAGTAAAACTGAATTTCCCTTCAAAGCCAGGCTTTGAGCTGGGATTTTTCTCTAAATCTCTGTGTTTGTTTATTTTTTAAAGGCTTCCTGGGACAGCTTTCCCAGCAGCAGACTCTCCCACTTCCCAAAAGGATTCCAGAGCCCTTAAACAGCCACGCAGCCCCACCAATTCCTGCACTCCCTGCAGGTAGGAACATGCAGAGAGCAGGAATGTGCTGTCTCTGCAGAAAGGAAGATTTGGTGGCTGTACAAGGAGCCAACCCCCAGCTGGGGCACAGACAGGATCCCTTTGAGATCTGCCCCAGCTTTTCTGGGATTTTAGCAGAGCTTTAAAGCCTCCCCTGCCTTGTGAGCTTGGCCTTGGCTGCAGGCCCACGGAATGGTTTTGTAGAGCCATTCCAAACACGGAGCTGTTCCTCCCTGAGACATTAACACTTGAGGGAGTGGTTCTTGTGCAGGAGGGGTCACAGATTTCCCCCCCTCCCCATCCTCCCGATTGATTATAACCTGATTTGGGTGGGCTCAAACATCAGAGTGCATCCAGGTCAATCCAAAATGCACCTGGAGCTCTGTCAGAGATCATCCCTGCTCAGGTGGGACCTTTGGCTCTGCAGCAGCCCAACCTGCTATTCCTGCCCTGGGTGCTCTGCCAAACCTCACTGGAGTCACTGGACTGGTTGGTGCTTCTGGAGCACACAGCTGTGGCCTCTCCTCCTCCTCCTCCTCTTTAACCCACCCCTCACCCCAGATTTCTGAGCCACTTTAACACTTCTGTCCCTGTGACTGAGCCCATCACTTGGCAATTCCTCAGCCGTGCGTTGGGGCATTGCAGAAGTGCCGTGGTGACATGGAAAGTGGATTAATCAGGGACCAAAGGGAGAGCTCCTCACCTTATTCCACCTCAGTGCTGGGGAGCTGAGGGGCTCAGGTGTCAGCCACAGCCTTTTAAAAGGGCTGGGAAGAGCAGGGGGTCACCAGTCCCCAAAAAACTTCTCACTTCCTACTCCTTTCTTGCACCTTGCTACCCAAAAGTGAATTCTGGGTCTGTCTTTATGCTGAAAAGAGGAAAAGAAACCCAAAAACCACACATCCTTCTTCCCCTCCATCTGAATCCTCTCTCACACCCCCCCCCCCCCCCCCCCCCTCTCTCCCCCTCCCCCACAANCCCCATCCGAATCCCCCCTCCCCCCCCCCCCCCCCAAACTCTTTCTGCTTCTTCAAAAGGAAAAAAAAAACCTTTAAAACCCTAAAATCTGACTCTGAAAGCTTTGCTGTACTCACAACCAAGCTTATTGGTTTTGATTTTGCTGATAAGAAAAAAAAAATGCACAAACATGCTGAACAGGGCTCCAACAACCTCAAACATTTTTCCATTCTCTCCCCAAAAAGCAGAGAGGAAAGCTACGACTCCCTCCCCTCCCCAGATGAAAACAGAGCAAATGTAGGAATCTGAACAAAGTCTTACAAAGATAACACTTCAAAATCTTGCAGCCAAGCCCCAGCCCCGTTGTGCAGCTGAAATAAAAATAAATAACACCACACCAGCAGATCAGAGCTTACTTTGCTGAAGCAAAATCTGCCACAGGAGGAGTTTTAAAAGTTGCTCCATTTCTTCGGCTCCTCGGAGTTTTCGCCTCTCTTGAAAAACAAGCTGAAAACTTTCTTTTTTTTTGTTTTTATTTTTTCCTCCCCTTTAACTTTCTTTTCTGTAACTGGAAAACACTATGACCTCATCAATTTACATCCCCAGAGCTGAGGACAGCAGCTCAGATTCTGCAGGATCACTCCACCTCTTTCCCTTCCCTTCCCTGACACTTTCTGCAGATCCCTCTCCTCCTTCCCCTCCCTCTGGCACCTTCTGAGCCCTCCCTCACTCTGACATCAAACTTGGTCCCACACAGCTCCGGGCTGACAAAACAAATCTTTCTCCCTCCCCCTAGGGATGGAACCAATTTTCCTCGTGCTTTACTTGATCCAGCTGTTCCTGCCTTTGTCTGACACTCCTCCAGACTGCATTTATTCTGCTGCCTTCAATGGGGTTTTGATCTCCTCATATGGTTTTACTTCCAGCTCCAGTCTCCAAAGACAACCTAGAAAACAATATTTACCCTGTCCTGTGATTTGTAAGCAAGGGCTGGGTATTTACAGGAAAATTATAATGGGTATAAAGTCAGGAAATAGAGTATAAAATAGGAAATAAAGTAGCTGCTGCTAGGATATTAAAAGTAAAATTATATCTTATAGGAAAATTAAAATATGGTCAATTTTTCTGTTCTCTCACATTCTCTTGTGAGGTTATTGTAGTTTATGGTTAACACCATTTAGTGGATTGGATTTCTTGGATTTTACAATTCAATCAAATTAATCATCAAGTGAAGAAAAGGAATTAAAACTGACTGTCCTTAAATGTCTGTGGGACTCCATAAGAGAACTTAAAAACACAAGTCAGGAGCCTTCCCATGGGATCCATGAGCATAAACTTAATTGTCACACTTGAATTTTTCCTTCTGACATTTTTCTGTCTCTCTACTCTACCAGAAAATCCCAGAGGCGGAAGAGTTTCAGGAAAGAGGAGAGTAATTATAATTATAATTATAATTATAATTATAATTATAATTATAACAACCCCCTAAATAAACATTTAAATGATTACACACTGCAACAAGGGAAACTTTGGGAGCATCCAGATCAGAACTTCAGCCAGTCCAGGATTCTGTCTCTAGCATCAGACAGAACCAGACACTTCCAAACAAATTCCAAGAAACTGAAGCTATTATTATTATTAGATAATATGGCCATGAAAAAAAAAAAATTAAAAAAAAAAAAAAAAGCCTGCTGTTAACTCCACAGTGTCCAAGACAGATCCAGAGAAGTGGTTTGTTTCTAGGGAAAAATCCTAAAATAATCTACAGATAAGAACAAAAGTTTCCCAGGAAAGTCCAACTCTGACATTTCTGTGAAGTGAGGAGGTTTGGGGGTGATGGGAACAGCCCCTCCCTCCACATTCCCACCCTCACCTCCTGCACCTGAACAAACCCAGCCCAACTCCAACCCTGATCCCATCAGCTTCTCTTTGCCAGCCTCAGCAATTCCCAAATCAATCCCAAACCACTGCAGGCAGCAAAAACTCCTGTTTCCCTGTCCCTGACCTGGGCCAGGGTCACAACAACCACAGCACCGATCCACAGCAGCTGCTGGGCCAGGAACCTCCTGCAATCTCCTGGAATCTCCTGGAATCTCATGGAATCTCATGGAATTTCTTGGAATCTCGTGGAAACCCATGGAATCTCATGGAAACACATGGAATTTCATGGGAGAATCTTCTGGAATCTCCTGGAATCTAATGGAATTTCTTGGAATCTCATGGAAACCCATGGAATCTCATGGAAACACATGGAATTTCATGGGAACCCATGGAATTTCATGGGAATCCATGGAATTTCATGGAATCTCATGGAATCACATGGAATCACATGGAGTCTCCTGGAATCACATGGAATCTCATGTAATCACATGGTATCTCTTGGAATCTCCTGGAATTTAATGGAATCACATAGAATCACATTGAATCTCAAGGAATTTCATGGAATCTCCTGAAATCACATGGAATCTCCTGGATTCACATGGAATCTCCTGGAATTTCATTGAATCTCCTGGAAGAAGGAGCCTTTCCTGTTGTCTCCATCAGGGATCCAGCCCAGGCTGTGCTCAGAGCAGCCTGGAAAATGCCTGCCTGGGAGGCAAAATCTGCTCCCAACAGCAAATCCAGCATTTTCTCCTTCCCCTGCTCCCTCCCAACCATGGGCAGGACCTTCCAGGCTGCAGTTCCAGGGGTTTTTTTTCTCATTTTTCTGCCTCCCAGCTGTGGCACTGCAGAGGTTACTGCCCGCTCCTCGCAGGGTTTTTGGGAGGGAGCAGATTGCTGTGGTTGCTGCTGTCATGGACTGGATATTTCCTGACTGCAAGGAGCCAAGTCCAGGCTGAGCAAGGCTGAAGTCTCCTAAAATCACCCAGGGGAAGAGCAGCAGCTTCTGTGGGGTTCACAGAGGGGATGAAAGGGACACGTTTAGGGGGTTGTTATAATTATTTTTTATATATTTATATATATATATATATATCTGCCTTGTTCTCTCTCTAATCCTGCACAGTCTGCAGCCAGCCCTGCTTCCTGGGGCTTTGCTACTCCAAAGACATCCTGGAAGAGCAGCTGTGTCAACATTTTTCCTGGTCTAGGAGCTGAATTTTTAACCAGTTTGAGTTGAGCTGTGCTCCCCAGCTTTTCTCCTTCCCCACTCCCAGGGGAATTGGGGTTGATTCTCCCAATAGCGAGCATCCCTTGGCTGCCCACTGCTGGCCACAAATCCTGACCAGAGAAAGCGATTTCATGCAGGCAAGGGAAAGGGACTTTCCAGCAGCAGCAGGAGTGGTTTTGCAGGCTCTGCACCTGCCAGCAGATCAGGTCAGCGGCACAAGAAAGGCTCCCGTGCTCCCAGAGTCGCCTCTTTTTCGTTGTGGCAAAAGAAAATCGGAATTTCACACCTAATTCACATCTAAAGCAGAGACTCAGGTGGACAAAGCCCTGCTGGAAGCGCAGGGTCACGAGGGTAATTGGCTGGTGGGAAGTGTTGGATGTCAGGAAGTTTCCTCCTCCCCATCTCTTCCATTTTTACCTTTTTTTTTTTTTTTTCAGGCTGCACTGAGAGACTTCCCAATAAATCCAGATTAAAGACCAGCAGCCAGAAAAACTGAGCAAGTGTCAGATCAAGAAAAAAGGTGTGATGCCAAGGGGAACTCTCCATCCTTTGGTGCAATTTTTGAGAGGCACTAACCCTGGCAAACAGGAGTGGAAGTGGCCCCTTCCACCCCATCCTCACAGCCATGAATACATGAATTAAAAAGGAATGCCAGCATCAATGATCTCTTGACACAAATTACAGTACAAGGCCTTGTGTGCAGGGTTTGTCAGCACTCCAGGCTTATCATCAACAACTTCTTTAAATACAGGATGCAGAGTGTTCCACCAGGATCAAAGGAGAAAATACCTGCTCATGGGAAGAAGAAAGGATAAAATTCCTGGGACAGAAAAGTAGTAGGGAATGCTGCAGTTTAGGAATAAAGAGTACAAGAGTACAGCTAATTGGCAGTGGCAAAGGCAGCAAGGAAAAGTAAAATAAAATTCAAAATAAAATATTGAAAAAGAGAACTTTGCATGGGAACAGCAAAAGAAAGGCACGGCAGCTCAGGGTTAATTTACACCAACACCATTTTCATTTTTCACTTTTCTCTTGAAACCAAATCTTCCAGCTGCCACGAACCCCTTAAGCAAGCCTGAAATAATCCAGCTTAGAGCAAGAACTGTGAACTGAATGGACAAAATGGAAAGCCAACCACAATGGCAGGGCTGCCAAGCAGAGCCTGTCATTACTGCAGGGCTGGAACAAGGCAGGCACCTCTCAGCCCCAGCATTACCCTGCTTGTTCCCCAGCCACAAACACAAAACCCTCTGATTTGCCTTCTCTGAAGGGCACAGCCAGAATGACAAGGTGATGCTCTCAGCAGATGGTTTTTTTTTGTTTCATTTCACTGGAATCCACTATAATCAGCAGCCTGAGATGCAGCCACCAGAGCAGCTGGGGCAAACACGGGCTGGAGGATGAGCAGGGCAGAGCTCTGACACCTTTAAGTTGTGGTGAATTAAAAAAAAAAATATCAGGGGAACTTTAAATAGCAGAGATATTATACAGATATAGAGATATAATAGCCAGAGACAGGTGAGGTCCACAGAAATGCCCCACTGGCAGTCACTGTGCCCGAGCACTCCTCAATCCCAGCATTGCTGAGGTTGGAAAAGAGCTCCAAGATTGAATCACAACCAAAGGGCCACAAAAAGCCCAGGTGGCTTTCAGGTTGTTGCAAATTTTCTTTCAAAACAGGTCGGTTTCAAAGGTAAATAAAACACTCAGTGCTTCAGAGACCCTCACACAATCACTGAGGCTGGAAAAGAGCTCCAAGATTGAGTCCAAGCTCATCCCCACCTTGTCCCCAGCCCAGAGCTCTGAGAATTGCAGGGACACCTCCAAAATGGGCACTCCAAACCTCCCTGGGTAGCAATTCCCACTTTTAACAACCCTTTCCGTGGGGAAATTCCTCCTGATGTGCAAACTGAGCCTCCCCTGGTGCAGCCTGAGGCTCCATTTTGAAGGAAAACCAGGGGAATGGGAACAGCAGGTGGGTTTGGGGCTGTCCTCTGCAGCTCCTCAACTCCCTCCTGCCCTGAATCTCCACTTCCCTACAACCCAGGCAGCAGAAATCCATCCATGTGCACGTCCAGGAATGCAGGGATTTATTCAGATGGAAATGCTGAGAGGGTTTTGATGTGCTGAACACGCTGGGCTGTGCAGAGTGTCTGGGACAGAGCTGGACGTGCCCAAGTGAGGAGTTAAACTGCAGCATCCATTAAATTTCCAGCTGTGTGGATTATTCCCATTAATCCATTGTTTGTGTGTCCTTCCAGCTCTGCTGTCCTTGGAGCAGGTCACAGAGCTCTGTCTGCACCCAAAGGCATCTCCAAAACTCCCTGCATTCCAGCACCCTCGGATGGCACAACGTTTAAACACCTCCTTTGGCTGGAAAGCTTCAGATTCCTGGGATTCATCTCAAAAGCATTAATAAAAACCAGTTAGAAAAACAGAGAAATTGCTCAGGAAACCAACACTGATTTTTTTTCTTTTTTCTTTTATATATTTTTTCATTCCAGACAGAAGCTACCCAAAAAAAACAACTGATCAAGGAGAAATGAGAAAACAACAGGCAGCAAATAAATC